ATTACGACCCTCCTTGGAAAGGGGGGTGTGCATGCGCCGTGCCACATACTGGGCGATATGGTCCGGGGGAACCCACTCCGCGGACCTAGGGTGACGAAGATCGTCAGGGTCAAATAAGGGGTTGCCCTGAGGGTCAACCAGTGCCTTGGTATCCCCAGTGGGGTTTAACGATTGACTACGGGCAGTAGCGGGTGCCCCAGAAGGGGTAACACCCGTAAGCGGTAAGTCCTCACCCGACTCACCCTCATCAAAGGAGTCATACTCCAGAACGTCTGAGTCATCCTCCACACTCCGGTCGGAATCCGACCCATCATCCAGGGCTTTAGCCCGTTTCCACAACCTAGCCTTTTTAGCCCGGCCAGGGGCTCTTTTGCGCGTGGGAGGCGCGCTGTCTGTGACCGCCTCAAGCGTGTCAATCATGGCAGGTAGAACCTGCATCGAGGAGTGGGAGTCGACGTGTTTAGACTTCTCCTTAGCCTTACGGGCTCCCGGCACAGTCGGGGTAGGAGAGGGCAGTCCCATGCCCAGGAGGGCGGGAGTCGCCATGGAAGGCAGCAGGAGAGAATGTAGTGATTGAGAAAATGAGGATGATACAGCCCCCATGGCTGAGGCAAAAGCTTTCTGCAGGGAAGAGGCCACAGTGGCATCCAGCAGGGCTTGGAATTCCTGGGAAGCAGTAGCCCCCACAGGATTATCTGGGTTAAAATCAGTGGGGAGGCCCTCAGGCCCATCCTCTCTCTCCTGCATATTGAAAATAATATATCAGGGAAAAACCCAACAGAAATAGCTTATAAAACTAAACAGACAGTAAACAGAGATTAAAGGGTTGATTAACCCTGCAGAGGAAGGTAAGAAGGAAAAAACCTGAGCACTGGTGCACCCTAGGGACCCAGGAGCAAGGCAGAGCGCACGGCAGCAGAGTGGAGCGACCGGGAATAAGGCCCGCCCCCAAGATGGCCGCCGCACGTGTAGGGAACGCTCGTGGTCTGAAACCCGGCGGGGGAAGGGGCGCGCACCCCTCCCCGCGCGGGCAGCAGCGAGCGAGCCGGAGAAACACGCTGGCAGCCGCGGCAGTACTAGGGAGAGCCGCGGCTGACAGCCGACCTGGGACAGAAGGCGCCCGCCGGCCGAAAGCGGTCGCGGCGGGCGGAGAGAGGGAGGGGTGGGCGGGGGGCACCAGCGCAGGGGATAGAACAGGAGCTGCAGAAGCAGCTACAGAAAGAAGGCAGAGAGATAAAAACGCCTAATAAACAAGGGTAGTAAACAAACAGTAAACCCAAACAAACATCAGAAAAAAGTACCATAACAGTACAGCATCACATGCAAATAGGCATATAAATACAATGGACCAAGCAAAGTACTTAGCTGTCTGAGGAAGCAGCAAAGAAAGAGGAGGATTGTGGGAGACACAGGCCTTTTATAGTCACTTCCTCTGTTATGTGATTGGTTGCCTGTGTATCTATACAGTTTTTTCTTTCATTTTTGACAATATTTATATTCCTCTATCTTTGCTGCTGAGGAAATAAAGAAAGAGTTATGCATAATATGAGCCTCCGTGTCTTTAATAAAATTCAGAATTTACTGTCATAGCTTACAGGTCCTTAATCAATTATTTTTCAATGTGCTAAGTATACCATGTATGTTTTGCTATAACAAGGATGTTATGCTTATTTCCTTAATTCTCTCATGCTCGCTATGTGTGCCTCTTGTACCTTCACCAATTCTTCTTAAAGATTGTAAAATAATAATAATAATAATAAAATAATATAAATATATTTATTTAGATTAAATACATGCTTAGGCCTAGTATCAGACATACTCAAATAGCAGAATTGCCCTGATACTCAAAGAGTCAATGCAATCACAATCCGGTTACAATATATCTTACAAAAGGACTCAAACTTATGTAGTGTGGTAAAATAGCACAATGACCACCCCAAACTATTTCCTGGTTTTAATCATGTAGTTATCAAAAGACATTACACAGAATTGATAGAATTGTATAAAAGGTAATATAAAAGGTGAAAGGTAAGCTAATAATTGTTATTTTTTTATTAATTCCCTCTTAAACATTTAAATCCAACCATAAATAGTCATTATGTGGTATGTAAGGGTGTAAACATATGAATGTGAGTTGTTAGCACATATTACTAACACCTATGGTCCTATGAAATTTAGATTTACATTTTAAGTGATCAGCAAAAGTGAAATGTTAGGTAATGTCAAATACATCTGTCAATACAGAAATGCACATTAGTATTTTAATAAATACATGTCATCCAATTTCAACCTGTAAATCTGCAAACAGTGTCTAAATTAATATAGTTTATATTATCTTTGCTTAGTCCAGAAAAAATATAATTAAAAATCAGTTATCCATTCTAAAACCTCCAAACTGCTAATCCCACACCATGTTTGTGTACTGACTGGTAAGTAGGTAATGAGGTAGAAAATGTTTATATAAACGGAGGAAATATTTCAACACTTCCAAAGCTATCAGCAGGCTAGACTTAGTGTAGTGACTTGTAAAGTGTTGAAATATTGAAAAAATATTACAGTGAACATCTTTCTAATAGTATAGATAAGGTGCCTGTCACCTGCCGTGAAGTTTTTGTTGTTAAAAATAAAATGCACAGAACTAAGATTAACAATAACTGTTAAAAACCATTTGTGCGTTAGACAAAGTATTGCAGATTGGGTAGCATTTCACTTTCTCAATGATTGATGTAAGGTTGTATCTCTGTCTGGATCTCCCTGTTTATCTTCTACGATTACGTTTTCACATTCCTGAAGTATAGAGTTTTTCCAACTGCGATAAATGAAGTAGATTTAAAATTATTCAGACTCTCCATTTTTATTATATGGATTAGCCAACATTGTGCGGCGGGCACTAGGAGCATGCGGAAAGTGCTTCAGCAGCGCTCTCTGCAAGACCTTGTGCACAGGGACCGGCAAAGAGGCCATCAGTCAGCCTGGTGTACTCTCAGAGAGTGGGCTGTCGCTTGCCAGAGATACCCACCCTTTACGGTCATTGCAAGTAACACGAGTAGAGTTGAGTGGACACCTGGATGTTCGGGTGCGCCGGGTTCTACCAAACATCTGCAAAAAGCTTGAGTTCGGACTCGAACTTGAACCTGAACCCAAACCCCTTGAAGTCAATGGGGACCCGAACTTTTGGGCACTAAAATGGCTCTAAAAAAGTCTTGGAAAGGGCTAAAGGGCTGCAAAAGGAAGTAAAATGGGGATAAGAGTAGGACAAGTGCCCTGCAAACAAATGTGGATAGGGAAATAACTTAAAATAACATAAAATACATAAAAATTAAAAATAATAATCTTGAACTAGGAGGAGTTGGTGGATGTGGAGTAGGAGGTTGAGGAGGCAGTGACCGTGGCGGTGTAGGTGGAAGCGGCGGTTGAGGCCAACACTGTTTTTTATTTGTTTGGTTTTTTTTTTTTTATCCCAAAATATTGGGACATATAAAAAAAGAAAACAAAGAATAAGTGCACTTGAGTATAACAATAGCTGGGTGAGGCCGGTATAAATGTCTATTCTGCACAAGGTACAAGTCTGGTGGGATCCATGATTGGTTCATTTTAATAAATGTGAGCTTGTCCACGTTGGCTGTAAACAGGCGGCTGCGCTTGTCTGTGATAACGCCCCCTGCCGTGCTAAACACACGTTCAGACAATGCACTAGCTGCAGGGCAGGCCAGCACCTCCAAGGCATAAAGGGCAAGCTCAGGCCATTTGCCCAATTTGAAGACCCAGAAGTTGAATGGGGCAGACCCATCAGTCAGTACGTGTAGGCGTGTGCACACGTTCTGTTCATCCATGTTGTTGAAATGCTGCCTCCTGCTAAGACGTTCCATATCAGCTGGTGGTGCTGGTTGTTGTGGCGTGCTGACAAAGCTTTTCCACATTTTGGCCATGCTAACCCTGCCTTCTGAGGTGCTGGCGGTGCCCCAGCTGTGTTGGCGACGCAGGTCCTCTTCTGCCTTCGCCTTGTGCTTCCACTGAGCCCCCGGTGTCAGTTGGGAATGCCCTCAGCAGCGCTTCTACCAGCGTGCACTTGTAGTCGCGCATCTTACGATCACGTTCCAGTGAGGGAATTAAGGACGGCACATTGTCCTTGTAACGGGGATCCAGCAGGGTGGCAACCCAGTAATCAGCACAAGTTAGAATGTGGGCAACTCGGCAGTCGTTGCGCAGGCACTGCAGCATGTAGTCCCTCATGTGTGCCAGGCTGCCCAGAGGCAAGGACAAGCTGTCCTCTGTGGGAGGTGTATCGTCTGTGTCCTCCGTATCCCCCCAGCCACGCTCCAGTGATGCCCACAAGCTGCGTTGTGTGCCACCCTGCTGTGAACACGGTTCATCCTCATCCTCCAGAACTATGCCATGGCTGGACAATTGTGTACCTGGCCTTTGCTGGTGCAGGAACCCACCCTCCAAGCCACTTGTGAATGACTGGCCTGATAACTGTGGAAATGACCCCTCTTCCTCCTCCTCTTCCTCGTGTGCCACATCCTCTTCCATCATCGCCCGAAGCATTTTTTCAAGGAGACATAGAAGCGGGATAGTAAGGCTGAGAACGGCGTCAGCCTTACTATGTTGGTGGAGTACTCGAAACAGTGCAACATGGCACACAGGTCTCGCATGGAGGCCCACTCATTGGTGGTGAAGTGGTGCTGTTCTGGAGAGCGACTGACCCATGCGTGCTGCAGCTGAAACTCCACTATCGCCTGCTGCTGCTTGCACAGTCTCTCCAGCATGTGCAAGGTGGAGTTCCACCTTGTGGGCACGTCGCATATGAGGCGGTGAGCGGGAAGTTACGCTGCAGCGCAAAGTTACGCTGCAGCGCAAAGTTACGCTGCAGCGCAAAGTTACGCTGCAGCGCAAACAGGTGATCAGCAGCAGGGTTAGAACGCCGAAAGCGTGCACAGACGGCCCGCACTTTCTGCATCAGCTCTGATATATCTGGGTAGTTTTTAGGAATTTCTGCACCACCAAATTCAGCACATGGGATGTGCGTCAAATCGGCTAGGCCCAGAGCTACCACGAGATTTCACCCATTATCGCACACCACCAGGCTGGGCTTGAGGCTCAGTGGTGTGGGGTTTTTCCCCCAAACATATGAGTTTTAAAACAGCCTGCTGTCGTTTCCCCCTGGCTGTGCTGAAGTTGGTGGTGAAGGTGTTACGCTGACCAGATAAGGAGGTTGTAGAGGAGGAGGAAGCGGAGTAGGGGGAGGAGGCAGCAGGAGGCAAAGAGAAATGCCCTGCAATCCTTGGTGGTGGAAGGACATGCGCCAAACTGCAACTACATTTGCCCAGTATGCAGTTAGGGAGATATAGCGTACCTGCCCGTGCATACTGGTCCACGTTTCAGTGGTTATGTGGACCTTGCCACGGATGGCATTGCGCAGTGCACACCTGATTTTGTCCGCCAATTGGTTGTGCAGGGAAGGGATGGCTCGCCTGGAACAGTAGTGGCGGCTGGGAACCACGTACTGTGGGACAGCCACCGCCATCATGTTTTTAAAACTGTCCATCTCCACCAGACTGAATGACAGCATTTCAAAGGCCAGGAATTTTGAAATGCTGGCATTCAGGGGCCAGGGATCGCGGGTGGGTAGAGGGGTACTTCCTCTTTCTCTCCAGTGTTTGGGAGATGGACAGCTGAACGCTTCCATGGGACAGTGTGGAGATGCTTGGGGACGGTGGTGGACATGGTGGCATTGCTGCCACATTCTCTGTTTGCTGGGTGGCAGGTGCCACTTTCACTCCAGAGGTGGAGGAAAAGGCAGAGACAGCAGCAGAAGAGGAAGCAGGAGGACCCTGAGACCTTTCTCGGTTTTGGAGGTGCTTACTCCACTGCAGCTCGTGCTTTGCATGTAGATGCCTGATCATGCAGGTTGTGTTTAGGTTTAGAATGGTTATGCCTCACTTCAGGCTCGGATTGCACAGCGTGCAAACCACTCGTGTCTTGTCATCAGCACATTGTCTGAAGAACTGCCACGCCAGGGAACTCCTTGGAGCTGGCTTTGGTGTACTCGGTCCCTGGGTACGGTGGGCAGTAGCAGGCGTACTGTCTAGGGGACGGCCACTCCTCTTTTGCACCCTGCTCCCTCTTATGCTGTGCTAGTGCCTCTGTGTGACCACCTCCTCTTCCTCTAAACTGGAGGCATAACCTTGATTCCATATGGGGTCTAGGACCTCATCATCCTGCACATCATCTTCCACCCACTCCTCAACCCTGCCCTCCTTGCCGGTCTGCACACTGCAGAAAGCCACATCAGTTGGCACCTGTGTTTCGTCATCATCAGAGACGTGCTGTGGTGGTCCTTGCATGTCCACATCCTGACACATAAGTGGTTGTGCATCAGTGCACTCAATCTCTTCCACTTCTGGGGCAGGGCTAGGTGGATGGCCCACGGAAACCCCGCCAGCAGAGTCATCAAAAAGCATAAGAGACTGCTGCATGACTTGTGGCTCAGACTGCTTGGCTGATTTGCAAGGGGGTGAGGTGAAAGACAGATGGCCATGGGCTGCAGGTGCCAACTTTCAGCAGGGGACCGGATGGGAGACAATGTGCAGGAACTGGAGGCACTGTCAGCCATCCAATCTACTATCGCCTGTACTTGTTCTGGCCTCCCCATTGGTAGAGCAGCCTTGGGGCCTACCGTATAACGCTGAAGGTTCTGTCGCGTACTCGCACATGAGGAAGGTGTTTCACTTGTGCGTGTAGCTGGCACAGATCGACCACGTCCTCTCCTTGCAACAGGAGCTCCACCAACACCAGCAGCACCACGACCAGGGCCACGTCCCTTATTTGACGCTCTCCTCATTCTTTGCGTTCACCCACTAAACTAACAGATGTTTTATGTCAGGCGACAATGTAACCGCCAATAGTCAACAATTTTTTATTTATTTTTTTCGTTTATTGGACTGCAAGAAATGCACCGCAGGCCGCAAATGTACCATTTAGCAACAAAAAAAATAGAATTTTTGAAAGTGCATCAAATTGACTTTTTAGCACGTAAATAATTCAAATGTTTAAAACTGCAGTATAAGCACAGTATTTGACGGTTCTATTTGACTCTCAGATATGAAGTGCAGGCACCAAATTGACTTTTTAGCACGTAAAGAATTCAAATGTTTAAAACTGCAATATAAGCACAGTATTTGACGGTTCTATTTGACTCTTAGATATGAAGTGCAGGCACCAAATTTACTTTTTAGCACCTAAAGAATTTGAATGTTTAAAAATGCGCTGTAAGCACAGTATTTGACGGTTCTATTTGACTCTCAGATATGAACTGCAGGCACCAAATTGACTTTTTATCACCTAAAGCATTTGAATTTTTAAAAATGCGCTGTAAGCACAGTATTTGACGGTTCTTTTTGACTCTCAGATATGAAGTGCAGGCACCAAATTGACTTTTTAGCAAGTAAAGAATTCAAATGTTTAAAACTGCAATATAAGCACAGTATTTGACGATCCTATTTGACTCTCAGATATGAAGTGCAGGCACCAAATTGACTTTTTAGCACCTAAAGCATTTGAATTTTTAAAACTGCAATGTAAGCACAATATTTGATGGTTCTATTTGACTCTCAGATATGAAGTGCAGGCACCAATTTGACTTTTTAGCACCTAAAGAATTAGAATTTTTAAAACTGCTATAAAGGGTTAAATGTGAAAGGGTTTATAAAATACCCCTTCCTGTCTCATTAGAGATGTTTATACTTTGTCTGATACCAGCAAAGTTTATTGTATGTGTAGAAACCCTATAAAGGGTTAAATGTGAAAGGGTTTATAAAATACCCCTTCCTTTCTTTCTGGAGATTCTTGGCTGATATCAGCATATCTAATGGCTAATGTAGGAACTCGCCTATTGAGGCTTGCCTTGACGTGGCAGGTGAGCTTATATATTCAAATGGCAAGTGGAATAAAACTAAAGAGCCTCCATTTTGTTTAAAGGTACATGGGGATTTTGGCTAGAGCGCAGGTAACGTTCTCTTTGTTTTTTTCTCTTCAAAAACATCCAAAACTTCTCAATACCACTTTTCTGTCTTACTAATGTTCCTACTTTTGTTCACCTCTAGAAGTGCTTGTTTATACACCTGTTTGCCTTTCTCTTTCCAGCTCTATTCTTGACACACTTAAAGGGACACTATAGGCACCCAAACAACTTCATCTCATTGAAGTGCTCTGGGTGCAGCATCCCTTTGAGGGTTTTTGAGAAACTGCAATGGTTACTTGCAGGACTAAGACAGGATTGGCATAAGACAGCCACTAGAGGCGCTTCTGAGATCCTAAAGGGCTCTGAGTCCCTTAAACGACACTAAACATCCTCACGCTTTGCATGAGGACATCCAACGTCAGTTGAATCCCCATAGAAAAGCATTGAGGCAATGTTTTCCTATTGGGAGGGCCTAATGCGCTTGTTGCGCATGTGCATTAGGTCCCCCCCATCAGATGATGTGGAAGGAGGGGTAGCGCTGACCCAGCACCAAGGGATAAGTGACTAAAATGTTTTTAAACCCTTTATATGCCTGGGAGGGGGCAGCAAAGGAGTGCACTATAGAGTTAGGAATACAGATTTGTATTCCCTTTAAGTCTGGTTTCTGCACTCTACTGAAACACTTAAAGGGACCCTACAGTGCCGGGAAAACAAAGCCGTTTTCCTGGCACTATTGGGTTAACAGGTTCCACCTTTCAGCCACTTACCTGAATCCAGTGCTGATGTCCCTTGGCGCTGGATGAGGCTTCAGACAGGCTCATCCCCCACCAATGTGAGCCGGCGGAGTAGGCCTAATGCGCATGCGCGGCAATGGTCATGCGCATTAGATCCCCCCCTAGGAAATCATTATTCATTGCTTTCCTATAGGAAAAATCTGACGCTGGAGGTCCGTGAGGACGTACAGCGTCAGATAATGGACCAAAAGTCAGTTTGGATTCCGGAAGCCCGTCAAGTGGCTGTCTGGTATACAGCCACAGGAGGGAAGACTTAGAGCTGCAATGTAAACATAGGGAAGCTAGTGTCTCTCACTTTAGCTTTCTCTCCTTTAACCCCTTCCCGCCGTTACGGTGTTCTATGCCGTCGCAGCTTTAATGGGCTTTAAAGCCGTTGCGGCGGCATAGAACGCCGTAACGGCTTTGAGCCGTGATCCTCTTCTGGAGGGCTGCCAGACCGCCCAGACAGCCCTCCTCCGGTGAATGAGGCCCCCGGGGGCCATGTGATCGCTCTCAAAGAGCGATCACATGGCCCCCCTATAGCTGGCTATGGATCTGCCAGCAGGGGGACTGTCTGAAATATCAGACAGTCCCCCTGCTGGTGGAAAGTGTAAAAAAAATTTAAATAAAAAAATATGTTAAAATAAATTAAATATATTTTTATATATATAATATATGTGTATATATTATATATATATAATATATATACATATTATATACATATAACGTCATACGTAATGTATTTTAATATTAATATAAGTATATATTAATATTAAAATACACCTAGAATGACGTTACATATATATATGTATATATATATATAATGATATATACACATATATTATATATATATATATATATATATATATATATATATATACACACGTATAATTACAATAATAAATGAATAAAATAATAAAATAAATAAATAAAATATTGAAACAAAATTTAATATAAATTATATATTCATATGTAATTTCATTCTAACTGTATTTTGTTATTAATATATATATATTGGTAACAAAATACACTTAGAATGACATTCTATATATATCTATCTATATATAAAATACAAATAACCGCAAATAAATATATATAGATAAATACATATAATTACATAAAAGATTACATTAGTATACACGTAGAATTTAAATACCTATAAATGCATAGATATTAAAATTCTACGTGTATATTTAAGTCATCTTTTAACATAATTATGTGATTTGATTAATTAAAATTTGATTGACATGCCTGACAACACAGGGAGAAAGTGCAGAGAATTTAATTTGCAAGCACTATATTTGACCCTGTAACTCTCCAAGACTCCATAAAACCTGTACATAGGGGGTACTGTTTTACTCGGGAGACTTTGCTGAACTCAAATATTAGTGTTTCAAAGTGGTAAATTGTATTACAACGATGATATTTTAAGTAAAAGTGACTTTTTTGCATTTTTTACAAACGAACGTCAT